AATCTAAAAGATAGATTTACCATGAAACTTAACAGTGATTTCAAGAGCGAAGAATTTTAGAATTTCTAAGCTTAGCAATTTTTTCTTTTCTTTATCATGCATTACTTTAAAATAGACTTCAATAAAAATCTATTTTTGCATATATTGAGGGGGAGTTGATTATTTTTTCTACATATATTGAGGGGGAGCCTATTTTTTATTATTATTATGATAAAATAGGGGGAGAAAATACTTAAAGCCTGGTATGTTTAATTTTTTTTCTATGATAGTTGTGACAGTAAAACAGGTTATTATAAAGGACTTTAAAGCAGATTTTGATCATCATCAAAAAGGGGGAGATTGTTCAAAATACAAGGGTATGATGCCTAAAGATTTTCATGATGCTTTAGAAGATAACAAAGGACTTCAATATAGTTGTATCTATTTGTAATAACTCTGTTTTATCATTTTGAGAATGTAAAAATAGAGTCTAAAATAGCCAACACATAGTCTGTCCACTGAAAGTTTGTTTTTATCTAAAACTCACTGTGATAATCGATTATCACCTGTGGATAATCGATTATCCAAGCTCACCTGGGTCTCTGAAAGTCTCTGGAATAATCGATTATCCTGTCAAAATTATGCCTTCTGTGATAATCGATTATCACTCATGATAATCGATTATCTGTGTCAGTTATGACTTTGAATTTCAAATTTCAGACCTATATTCGAAAACCCTAATTTCAAAAGCCTAAAATCTCTATTTAAGGAACTCTCTAGCACTCTGTAAAATGACAACCTTTTTCATACTAAAGTTTATAGTTGTGATTGCTGAGAGAACTTTGAGTAGGGAAGAAAAAGAGGCTTTTGTAACCTAGTGTGAGCTAAAAGTGATAAGAATCACTAAGTGGGTTTCTTGGTGGATTGTGTGTTGTGTCGTCTCTAGGAAAAGTTGTCTTCATCCTTTGTGGCTTCAAAGGAGGTGTTCATCTCTTATGTGACTCAAGAGAGGTGTTTTCTAATCTTTGTTTATTTGTAATCTGTTTATTTGAGAATCATTATTATAGTGACTGAGTTAATCCTCTTTTAGAGTGATTAACAACTGGACGTAGGGTCTTTTGATCCAAACCAGTATAAATTACTGTGTAATCTTCTTCCCTTATCCTTTTACTTTTCAAGTACTCTATTGTATTATCGTTTAATCGGTAAAACTTACGAAAAGTTTTAAAAAGATAAATTTTTTATAAAAAACCAATTCACGCAAACATTCTGCTGCGCGATACCAACACGTTCAAGAGGTGGACGAAGTGGAGGCAGAAAAACAGTTTTCTCTGAACAACCTAGAGAAGAAAATAGTAACACTCAGAAAGAAACAAACAAGAGAGGAGGAAGACAATCCAGAGGTAGAGGCAGGAAGAATTACGATAAAAGGAATATTCAGTGTTATACGTGCAACAAATATGGACATTACTCTTCTAAATGTTGGCATAATGAAGCGGTCAAGAAGAATAATAAAGACGACGAAGCACATTTTGCACAGGATAAATGTGACTTTAATTCAGATCACATATTGTTGATGAGCACTATGAATCATACAGAAGATGATTTGTGTTGGTACTTGGATACTGGCTATTCAGATCATATGATCGGCAAAAGAGAATGATTGATAGATCTTGATACAAGTATCAAGAACAGTGTAAGATTTGCAGACAACAACACGATCATGGCCGAGGGAGTTGGCAGAGTGTTAATCACTTGCAAGAACGGCAAGACAACGTATATGAATGATGTTCTATACGTACCAACGATGAAGAATAACCTGCTAAGTTTGGGACAACTTCTGGAGAAAGGTTACACTATGTCCATGCAACAAAATTTCATAGAAGTATTTGATAGAAGGCAGCATTCAGTGCTCAAGGCTCCTCTTGCAAGAAACAGAATATTCAAGGTAAATCTGAATGCTACTGTAGTTCAGTGTTTATCTACCATTAATATTGAAGAAGAGGAAGGATGGTTATGGCATTATCGATTTGGACATCTAAACTTTAAAAGTTTGGGTCAATTTAATAGCAAAGAATGGTGAAAGGAGTGTCATTGATATCCATTCTTAACAAAACTTGCGAGGGATGTGTTATTGGGAAGCAAACCAGAAAGAAATTCAAGAAATCTGTACCCAAGAGAGCAAAACAATCTCTTGAAGTTATCTACTCAAATGTGTGTGGCTCCTTCGACGTTCTATCACTTGGAGGTAACAAGTATTTTCTAATTTTTGTAAATAAATGGACACGAAAACTTTGGATTTACTTGCTAAAAGAAAAGAAAGAAGTGTTTTCATATTTTGTAAAGTTCTGTTCTTTAGTAGAAAGGCAATCTAGTTTGAAGATAAAAATATTCAGAACTGATGGTGGAGGTGAGTTTAACTCAAAAGATATTGATGAGTTTTGTGATTCCAAAGGAATTATACATGAAGTAATTGCTTTGTATACACCCCAACATAATGGGTTAGCCGAGAGAAGAAACAGGATGTTACTTGACATGACTAGATGCATGATCAAGGGAAAGAAGTTGCCTCATTATTTGTGGGGAGAAGCGGTTTTCACTGCAGCTTATTTGTTGAACAGAAGCCCAATAAAGGCACTACCAGATTGCACTCCTGAAGAAGCTTGGTTAGGAGACAAACCTTTTGTTCATCATTTGAGAATCTTTGGGTCTGTTTGCTATAAACATGTACCGGACAAAAGGAGGAAGAAATTAGACGACAAGAGTGAGACTCTCATCTTAGTTGGCTATCATCCAACAGGAGCTTACAAGTTGTTCAGTCCAAAAAAGAAGCAGATCATTTTTAGCAGAGACGTAATAATGGATGAGGCTGCAACGTTGAATTGGAAGAAGGTTGAAGCAAACTTACAACTAGATTCTATACCTAGCTTGTTAGAAGGTAAAAGTTCTACTATTGAACAGGTTGCTACAGATGATGGAGTTCATAACAAATCACAAAGAACAAAATTTCCTTCCACCAGACTCTCAGATCATGAAGTTTATGCAGACAGTGATATAACCAACTCTGGTGATCTTGTTCATTTCGCGTTTTTGGCTGATGCAGATACTTTGACTTGGAAGTAGGCTCTTGATATAAAAGAATGGAAAGAAGCAATGATTGAGGAGTTAAAGGCTATTAAAAAAAATAGAACGTGGAAGCTGATAGATTTGCCACAACATAAACACCCCATTGACGTTAAGTGTGTGTTTAAAACTAAGTATAAACCGGATGGAGAAGTGGCAAAGTTTAAAGCCAGATTGGTTGCAAAAGGTTTTTTACAAAAACCTATAGTTGATTTTACAGATGTGTTTGCACCTGTTGCAAGACTGGAAACTGTGAGATTGGTGGTGGTGGTAGCCAGTTTTAAGAGCTGGAAAATATGCCAAATGGATGTTAAATCAGCATTCTTGAATGGGTCACTAGAAGAAGAAGTTTATGTGAGACAACCTCCAGGTTTTGTGAAGGAAGGAGAGGAGCAGAAAGTTTACATATTAAATAAAGTTTTATACGGGCTTAGACAAGCGCCTCGTGCATGGAAAAAACATATTGATTCATTGCTTATCAGACTTGGATTTCACAAATGTTCAGTAGAGTTTGGAATCTATGTAAAGTCTGTTACGCATCAAAGCATATTAATAGTTTGCTTGTATGTAGATGACTTGATCGTGACTAGAAACTCAGAAAGCGAGATCGATGACTTAAAACGGAGAATGAAAGAAGAATTTGAGATGACTGATCTCGGTGATCTCAGTTACTTTCTGGGGTTGGAATTCTTACAAACTGCGAATGGAATATTACTTCATCAAAAAAGATACATTAACGAAATCTTGAAGAGATTTAACATGGTGAACTGTAATAGTGTTCCAATTCCAGTCATAGCTAACTTGAAGTTAACAGATCAAGCGGATGAGAAGAAAGTGGATGCAACTTTGTACAAACAAATGGTAGGATCACTCAGGTATGATTGCAATAGTAGACCTGATATTAGCCAAACATATTCTGAGATATTTGAAAGGAACAACAGATTTTGGTCTCTTCTTTCTTAAAATGTCAAGCAACATTGAAGGAGTTTTGGAGGTCTGGTGTGACTCTGATGGGTGTGGTGATAAAGTTGATAGGAGGAGTGCGTTTGACTATCTCTTCAAGTACATGGGAGCACCAATTTCATGGGGCTCTAAGAAGCAAAGCGTGGTGGCACTTTCGTCTTGCGAAGCAGAATATATAGTATCTGCAGAAACAGCTTGTTAGAGTGTGTGGATGGAAACACTCTTTGAAGATTTGAAACTAGAGTGTAAAAAACCAGTACAACTTCTAGTAGATAACAAATCTACTATTAGTTTATCCAAGAATCTAGTTTTTCATAAAAAAAAATAAACACATTGAGACAAAATTTTATTTTTTAAGGAACCAAGTTAAGAAAGGAAGATTCGAACTAATACGCTGTTCAACAAAAGATCAAATAGCTTATGTTTTTACCAAAGCTTTGAGACAAAACAGATTTAAAAAATTGAAAGACTTATTAGTAGTAAAATTTATGGAGAATTTGGATTAAGGGGCTGTGTTGAGTTAATCCAATATTCTCCCTAACTGTAATAACTATCATGCAGTTAGATAGTTTTCATTTCAGTTTTATATAGCCTAGTATATACTTCTTCTATTAATAAGAAAGAAAATCATCCATTTCTCTAATATATTCTTTTCTTTAAGTTAAAGTGTTACACTTCAAGTCCATTGGACTTTTTCACGTACGGGCAGAAGCGTTCAAATAACTTTTAGAGTCATATTTCAAGTGCAAGGTTTAGAATGCCAGAACTAGCTGTTCATTATGGTCCAATGAAACAATTCGATACTTTTATGACAATGATTTGTTTGTACAAGTAGAGATATACCATGACATTAATTTTTTGTATTCATAATATACAGATATACAATTTTATGTACAGAGTTCAGAAAGAATGGTTAGGGAAGCTAAAATATGTATTTACAGAAAGTCCCATTGCCAATAGACCTTCTCTACAATCCCTCCACCACTTTTAACAGCTAGGTGAAGCGTCTCAGAAGCTGGTGGAACGCCCCATAATAATGGAACTGCAACAGTCATGGTTAGCTTTTCATGTAAATCACCTTTGCTTGCCTTCTCTGCAGCAATAACCTGCCATGTAAACCCATAATAATGGGTTTTAATGTTCTGAGAACTTGGGTTGAACTACATCAAAAGAAAAATTCTGGGTATTGTACACATCAACGGAAAAGTTGCTAAGTAAATGCTTCCAGGATTACCAGACATGTTATTACCCTCAAACAATTACCTATTAATATGAAAGTTGATAACAAAAAGGGCACAATACAATTTTAATTGACGAGCACCCAGTCTAATTCCCGTTCATGATTAATACTGCCAGGTGAATGATCTTTCAATCCAAACTTCTAGAATTGTCTGATTTAAACTTTTTACTTCAACGAGATATCAATTAAAATTGATCCGAAAAGAATTGGTACATTTAGAGACACAATATTCTAGGTACAAATTTGTTGGAAAACAGAAAAATACAATCAGTACGCAGAGCCTTTGGCTTGCTTGTGGACATGCATGTGCAAAATTGTATTAATGTGACCCTGAAAAGATCTAGGATGCATTGGAGTAAACAACTTAGTTAAGCAACCACTTATCTAAGAAAATAGATTTAAATCTAATTATTTTATAAAACGATTTGTAAAGCAAGGTTTTGCGTCTACTTTTATATTATATTTGGTCATATCTATCTTTAGTCAATATGGAATCTTCAACACAACCCCTCTCACCAAAGACCAGACATCCATGCACTAAATATTTATTGGTAATTTGATATCGACCGCATAGCAAGTAATTCGATAGACCTCACAAACCTTGCTAAGATAGAATATGATATCATCTTAGAGAGTGGATTTACATTTAACTCAATCTTATATCAAACAAGAGTTTATGACATAGATTTAGCCATGAAATTATTGAAATAAGTTGAAATGAACTTATTCCAATAAGTTTTACTTAGACGCTTATTGAATTAAGTTCAAAAGAGTTTATAGGAGTCATAAGCTATTTTCTAAGTTCGATTAAAGCTCTTCCAAATACCTCCATAGAGGTAAACCAAATGGTAAATTAATGTGAGGGTTTTTTATGCCTAATTTTTTGTGTGTAGCATTATTCTTTAGTGATGATCCGCGGACAAGGGAGTATCATGAAATTTTAACAATGGTCTGCAATTTTGACTAAACTTTCTTCAACATATACTAAGAACCAGAGCACAATAGCTTTATTGAAAGAAAAAAGGTATAGCATACCTCCCCACCATGCTCTAAAACAGTGTCTTCCACCACCTCACTAAGCATCTCAATGGAACGGCAGAAACCAAAAATACAAAGTCTTCTGCCCATATCAAGTCCCTATAACGAGGGCAATTCATATTATGAGCTGGCAGAGGAAAAGTTATACTCTCATAGAGGAGGTTTAGTTAACAGATCTGGTGCTTACATTAGTAGCAGCAATATCAAAGAGTGCACCCAGACAAAGGCCTTGATTAGGATCCATGTAATCACTTTCTTGAAACCGTTGAAATTTTTGTGCAGTTTTTGATTTCCCTTGCTTCTTCTGTGAAGCATAACAATATATTAGCCAATCTAAAGGAAGATCAAACATTGAAATGTACTGTAAACAAGACAAACATTGATCAAAGATGAGAAAGGTTCAAAAAAGTGCATATTGTGTCTGTGCTGTCTTGGGCTTAACAGGTGATTCTATGGCCAAGGATTCAATATGAAACACCAGGATACCTTTTCACATCAGGAGTAAAAGGGCAACGAGTCTAACTCTGTAAAAGGATGTATTATACCACAAATAGCAAGCAGAGAATGAAAACCTTATAAACATGATAAGAAGCATGTTGGACTTCCAACTACAATCGCATAAACTTTTAAGATAGTTGATTTCTTTAAATAATTTCAAAGTCTGGTCAATAATGCAGTCATTCCCCTCTTCAAACTGAATTCACCGTTCAACACGAGTATTAGGTGGACACGTGCTTTGATTGGTCAAAACTTCAAACCCAAAGAGCTTTTTGTGTAAAATTTGACAAGGTGTGTTAAAGTTATCACTCATCAATAAAATCACTATTGGAACCTTCTCAAAATAAATGTAGATTTTGGAGCCAAATGCATGTGGTGGACTAGACATAACCAGCAGCACATTTAAGGTTCCCTCTACGTCCTAATTATTAACTTGTAAACTGAAAGCAATACAATTTTACAAATAATACATCAGAAGAGCTGACACGGCGAGGAACCATGGAGCCTCCAATCTGGATCAGTCCATCGGCAGTGAACAACGTAATTCTCTCCTCAGGAACCCATTGAATTTCTGAGGAGTCGCAAACATAAAGGAAAACAACTCATCAATTACTTAATATATACACATATATAAGTCATAGCACAAAGGCTTGAATAATTTCTGAGTCTAATATTGATCATACAACTAATTGCTTTAAAATGAAAACATGCGGATAAAATCGTTGAAGAATCGAACCAACACTCACAAAAACCTCTAATTATAAGCATTTAAAAAAGGCTAAAGCTTTTTGCTTTAACTAATTGAAAAAATAATCAATTACAATTGCCATGCTTAAAGTGAAAACTTTGAAAAGGAGCATCAAATTTTGAAATTCAGAATCGGGGAAAAGGAAGAGCGTACCGTTAACGGAATCGGACCAGGGGAAAAAGGAGAAGGAATCGTCGCCGGAGAAGTTACCGGCGGGGGAGGCTTTGGGAGCAAAATGGAGAAGGCGAGGATGTGGAGCAGAAGGGGAAGGAGAGAAGGGGAAGGAGTTGTTGAAGGTCTTGGAAGGAGAACGGAACGGAACGAAAGAGAATCTGAATGTGGAGAAGCATAGTGCAGAGGTTTCCGCCATTGGAACCGAACGGAGTGAAAGACACGCTACAAACGGTTCGGTGATTGCCGAAAACCAGTTTTGATTATTCAATTCATCGAACTCACCGCGCGGTCGGACACACTCCTCGCATTTATTTATTCTTTTTCGTTGTTTTTTTTTTTTTCTGGCTGAGAATTTCACATGGTTATCACACACACATCCCTATTTTTTATTTTTTATTTTTTATTATTATTACATTGATTCTGAGACCCCACCCACCTTCTTCTGAGTTTCCCTCACCGATCACGGTTTCAGTAAACTTCAACATGGGGTTAATTGAAGTATAAAAAGAAAAAATAAAATAAATAATGTTAGAAAAATTAAGAAAAAATAAATAAAAATGAGATGAAAAAGATAAATATGAGGCAAATGAATGTCCCTATTTGGTTTTTACGATGATGTTGAAATTAGCGGTACTCTGTTTTTTGTTGGCTTCTCTGAAGCCACGTTTCTATGAGTTGATGAAGTTAGTTATTTTAAAATATGCATATTTTACTATTACCAAATATCTATTTGTAGTATGTTATTTTTACATCACAATATTAGTTTTACGTATTATTTATTTTAAAAAAACATTTTTAAATAAAAATTTAAAAAATATATTAATAAAATTAATCTTTATATTTTAATGTAATAATTTAATATGTTTTAAAATAAAAATTAAAAGACTTACTTTTTTAATTATATTTTATTTTTTAGTAATCTAATGAATTATAATTATAATTTAAAATAAAAGTTAAATATTTTTATATTTTTTATTATTTTTCCTAATAGAATAATTAAAAAAATTATTGGGCCTGTATAAAACAATTTGATCATTATGGACTGGTCTGATTCTTTACCAGATTGGGCCAATCGAAATTAATGATTATTAACCAGTGTTGCTTTTTTTCCGCATCCAAATAATTTCTTCTCCACTTTCATAATACATATAAAATATCAAAAATGTTTTTGCCACTAGTTTTCATCTTTGGCACCACACCTCTCTTAACTGCACCTTTTGCATTTTCCTTCGTGCATCATTCTCATTTTTCAGATTTTTGTTGGTGATTTATAAAATGGTATAAGATGTGTATCCAAAAATCCCAAAAAAAAAAATACATTTGTGATATTTCGAATTATTGAATCTAAAATACATCTATAAAAATATAATTCAAAAATAAGTTTCTAGTAGCTAATCCAAAACTCATTGTCTTTTATTATGAAAATATATTTTAAATTTAACAATTCAAAACTCATTTTCATATTATATTTTTTGAAAATAAATTATAAATGAGTTATGAAAAATTCAATTAACTCTAGAAAAAAAATAGAATTCACTAATTTAATTCGGAAATTGTCAAATAAAGTAATTTAGATTACTCAAAATTCAATTTCCACATACTTTAAAGAAAATTACTCAACATTAAAATTGACACTAACACATTAAAAAAAAATTGGGGGGTAAACAAAGTGTATATAATGACCCAATTCAAACCTGAGACAAAAGTTTCAACCTACTTTGACTCATGCCACATATTATTACGTACATTAATTTTATTTTATTTTTTTTATTCATCTAAAAATATAATATTATTCTTAATGTAAGTTTTTTTTTAAATATTATGAAAAATTAATTTTGGAACACTTCTAATAACTTTTAAAAATTAATATTAAAACTTTACAAAAAAAATGAATTTAAAATTTAAATAGTACATACAAAAGATATTTTAAAATTTAGCTTTCCAATAATTTTTTGGATTAATATTTTTATAAAAATATATTCCGAATTTTGTAATATAAAACTTACAAAAGTTATATATTTCTGAAATCCATTCATACAAAATTTAAAAAATATATCAATTTAAAATACTTTATAATTATTTCTTTTATAAATAGATTTGGCGGAGGAAGAGAATTATATATATATATATATATATATATATATATATATATATATATATATATATATATATATATATATATATATATATTTGAACTTAACTATGAAAGATACCAAACTTTGGTAGCAAAAATAAAGGCAGTAAAGTCAATTGTAAAATCTTTATTTGAAAGACTCCAACAAAGGAGACTTAACTTATTTCCTCCGCTTGATATGCAAAAAGGGAAAAAGAATACAAATTCCAGGCGTTAAGATGTTGGTGGCTTCATGGTCTATGACTATGAGCTGGTTTCATGATCCAAAAGGAAACAATACCAAACAAAGATTATTGAGACAAACAAGAAAAGAGAAAGAAAAAAGAAATTGTACAGATATGCAGAGGGTGAATAATTATGATCAGAAAACAAAAAAGCTGGTGCAGTGTCGGAGAACCATTCATGCATTGAAAGCAAAAGTGAAAGAGAAGGCACATATATCTCTCTGTACATGCCCTTTGTATTTCTGACTTGTGTTTTGGAAGTACTACAACAACCACACCCTCTTCTTTAGCATGCACCCTATCAAGCATTCCCTGACATGCCAAGGGTTCACACAACTTCAAATCTCTTTCACTCTCACCATTTCGTTACATTCACCATGCATGTGTGTATATATATGTTATGGACACTACATGCACCTGTGCATAACAAGAAGAAGACCAAACAACATAGGATAACATACAGATATGTCTTAGAAGCCATCTCAGAAAAGCTGAACAACAATCCTTGTCTTTTTCCTGCCTGTCTCTTTGCTCACGCTACTACCTGTCGATTGCATGTAGACAAAGCCACATGCTCATGACATTTATTACTTTTTCTTTTTTGGTCCTTTTTCCTCTCCATTGATTCTGCAGGTTGAGGAATATATCATCATCATCATATATATATATATATATATATATTCTGACTCAGATTATACAGACATATTAAGGAACTGTGTTATTAAGGCTTCACTTCAATGCATGTTAATAGGTAGAATTTGACTCTTGTAAAGTGTATAATTCACATAACATAAAAACAGAAGTGAAAATATTTTTCTTTTGAATGGAATAGTGAAGCATTGATTTCAATCTTTCATCACATAATTTAAAAATTGCACTTTTTTTTTTTAAGTTTGATTTATGTTACTGTGTTAGTGGGCTTTGACATGAAGGGTGACAAGTGCAAGTTACTTGTATTAAATAATTTCAGCATTTCTTTTATTACTATAAATTTGAAAAAAAGAAAATATTATTTTATTTGATAACAAATATTAACAAAGAGATATATCACTTTTATTAGTCTTATAAATTTTACATTATATTTTATTTGAGGTATAAAATAATAATAAAAATTAATTTTTTTAATGTAAATTAATTAATTAATTTTTATTTATTTAATATTTTAAAATAATATTTTTATGTCATTTTTTTTTCAATGGAACAAATATATTTTTTATTTTATTCTTTCTCTTTCTTATATCGAAGTAATTCCAATGTGTAGCATAAGAAATAGTCCAATTGGTAAATGATGGTGGAGAACTTAATCCTCCATGTTTAGATTTTGACATAAGATTCGTTTGGCCACGGTTCAATAATTCAGTTTAGCCGCAGCGCTTTTCTCCTTTCTTTTGTACTCTCTTTCACTGAACCCATCGCACAATTTTGTCCACGCCCACATCCTATCTTTTCAGCTTTTCAAGTCATGGGCCTACCAATTCAATGTCAAACCCGCTCTGCAATAGATTATCAGAAGTAAAATTTTTAGAATTTAAAGAAAATTATATCTAACTCTTGTTGTGAATAGGATAATTTGAAGTTGTAAAAAAATGAAGGAGAGGGTTGGAAAAAATTTGTGAAGGCAAGCGTTGTCCTGTTATAACCTTATCATGATTTTCTGGTCGTGACAACCAACACAAAGTAATCTAGTTTTATGTTCTGACACATCATTTTCGTATCAAAACCTGGTTCACAGAGGCCATTCATCAAATATCTCCCACATTCAATTTCTTCTCTACCCATACCATATTTCACAAAATCATGAATGGTAAGTCGCACGTGTGTAGTACCATACTTAAGGACCACCCTTGTTTATCCCATTAAGTGATTTTGACTAAATTCTCAGAAACTTCTCTACCATCACTTGAAAGGAATTCACGAAGAAAATATCCATTATCAATTCCATGCCACTGCTAATCTTTTATATAATTCAATTCAATTATGATAAATCGATTAAGGTAGGTATCATAAGTATTGGGATCTCAACATGGAAACCATTCAAATTAAAGAAAGACAAGCCATGCATGTGAGGGACAGTATCACATTGCAGTACAAAACTTTATGAGCATGAATGAAGATGAAGGGTGTGCACATTTGAGGTGTCTCAATCTGAATCTAGGACGAATCAAACATTTTTTTTTTTTCATTTACAATAATGTCAAGAGTCTTTGACATTATGTTAAATTTATATTCAAATGTCATTAAAATCAATATAATTATTTATTTTTATTTATATAGTTATATCTCCTTAAAATTTGGATATAAATCAAGTCTCATATCTACTGATATTTAATTTAAATCATATAAAATATATTGTGTTTTCCATAATATTCTTAATATCTTAAATCAGATAATAACTTATGTAAGAGATCAATAATAGAATAATTTTTAAACAATTCTAAAAAAAAAAACTTATTTTATGTATATTTTTAATAAAAAATTAGGATGACAAAATAAAATAAATCTAGACATTTGTCAATCTTTAAAAATGATTAGTGGAACAGATTAACAATTTAACTCATTAATTTCTTTTATACATCTTGCTTAATTTATTAATTCGGTTATTAAGTAGAAGATGATGTGATAAATTATTAATTATAATTAGATATTTTAATATATAAATATTGTAATTTTTTAATTTATCTAATAAAATATTAATTACTGAATAAAAATTTTAAAATTATTTTTATATTTAAATATTTTTTTTAAAATACATAAAAATAATTATATAAAAAAATTGGCCAATTGATATGCTTATTCACCCTTTATAGAATAAGTTAGGATTTGCACTCTATTTTAATTATAAAGGACCAACTTATTTATCTCGTTTTTTAGTGAATTAGAAATGATGCGAAATAAAATGGAACATAATTACCTGTTTTGTTTTATCATCTGTAATTATACATATAAAATCAATTTATAAGGAATATATTTAATAAGATTGATTTTTTTTAATTCTTTGTTATATCAGCAACAAAACGTTACATTTGGAAAAAAATTAAGAAAATAAATAAAATTGTAGAAACAAATGCGAAAACACGCGTGAAGAAATTACTATCATTAGTGCGTTCTACGTGCAAATCCAACTAACATTTTCTTTCCTTCTTTTGACACCCTTCTTTTTTGGTCAAAAATCGTGACGTGAGATTCCTCTGTCTAGTGTGATCCATACATTTGATGCCACGGAAACATTTTATTGGTTGATTTTAGGTATCTTGTTTATGCTTAGGAAAAAAAAAAAGAAAAAAAGGTGATTAAGGTAAAGATTAACATAGGATTAGCACAATAAGTAAAAAAGGTTACGGAAATCTCAAGCTAAAAGGACTGAAAATAAAAGCAGGTATGTATTTGTACGTGCAACTGAATCACACAAACTTCGTTTTGGGCACCCAGCAGAGCAATTGGGCCCACTCTCTGAAGTGGGCTCCACTCAGTACCCCACAATCAAGTTTAGGGTGCATGTGGTGAAGCTTTAACCAATTAAAATTAAATTAAATAATCTCACATTTTACTTCGTTTGAATTGTTATTGAATCATTTAAAAAAAAAAAATCTGGTTTTGAACCACAAATGAATCTGTATTAAAAAGCATTACCTTTTAAATTTTTTCAAACATAAATTAATATTGATTTGGACTTTTATTCAATCTTACATATTAATTTTATAAGGTGGAGTTTATATTCACTTAAATACTCTATTTTAATGTTGGACTTTGTTTTCTTATTTAAAATTGAAAAATGTTTAGTTTATCTTCTTTTGAAATAAGTGATGTTATTTTTAAAATTATTTACTTTAAGAATTAACAAATTGGTCCAATGTTATAAATTGATATGAAATATCAAATACGTCTTCTTCTTTTTTCCAACATCAAACTATTAATGATCTAATAATTGTTTATTTTGACAAAATTCAAGCATCCCAAGTCTTAAATGTTAATTCATCATTAGTTTATGCAAAAACAATTTCCATAATTAAATTACAATATAAAACTATTTACATGTAATGATTAAACTCATGCTAAAAAGTCTCTTCCATCATAATTATATGAGGAGTCAATTTAGTTTTGAATGGAATTGGTATTTGAGTGATTATTTGATTGTAACTTTAGTGACTGTGTTATATTGGTTTATATAAGTTTTGCAGAAGAAAAAGATTAACTAATAATTTAAACCAAACAAGCAAAACAAGAAAGAAAAAAGATAGAAAGTGGAATTCAAGTTAACTAATAATTTAAAATAGAAAGAGGAAAGTGAAACAAAGGGAAAAGAACAAAAAGGGCATGGACCCTTAAGCGTGCTATGGAAGATGCAAAGGTAATAATAATAATAATATAGAGGTTAACACATGCACACAAGTGCTGCCATGAACACTTGAATACCAAAACTATGAACCACTATTTTTGTTTCTTTAGCCATGAACCAAATGCCCCAATGGAGCAAAGAACTTTTCATCATTGAAATGCACGACACCAACACAGTTTTTGTCATCTAAAAGGTCAAACATGCAATAACCCTAATCTCATGGTTGTTACTCCACGGCCATTTTTGGATCTAACACAAGAACTGTTCCAAGGGTTTTTCAAACCTTTTGTCAACTTCAAATTATTTTGTCTCACCTCACTCTACCTCTGCTATCTGCAACTGCAAGCTATGTCAAACGTTAAATATATAACTATTTTTTTTTTAGCAAATTTTCATTTCATTCACTTTTAGCTTGTATTTAGATTAAAATAAGTAAAATTACTATATTCCTTCACCTCTTGATTCGTGGTTCATAGAAAAGCATGCTTTCAAATCCATTTAGTAATGTTTCACAGAGGATCCAAAGAGTATAAAAATGAGATTAACTGTTCTTTCACGCCATTTCTGAGAAAGTAATCACTTAAAATATTCTGAATTAAAACATAAATTTAAATCCTATTTATATTGAATTTTTTTTCTATGAAAGCTAGTGAATTATCTAATCAATAATTAAAACATGTAAATCAACTATTTCAATTTGACCGAAATTTCTCGCGTTCAAATCCTGAATAATAGATATGCAATTGTGTTAAATACTTAAAAAAACTTTTTTTATAATATTCTCCTTTTTAATATATTAGATAAATGTTAGGGTGATAAAATATATTCACAAATCTTATTTTGATCTGCTGTATTTTTAGTTCACCAGAAATAATATAATATGGACTAAAGACACTAGTTTATCCTAAATATTTTTTTTAATTATTAAATATTTTTAAAATTTTATTTATTAATTAATAATTTTATTAAGTAAATTAAGGATTTCAATTTTTTATTAGGACTATGGAAAGTCTTCCAGTCCCACACCATATAATTTAATTATCATCTCAGACTCGGATCAACATTTTTCTCTAAATAAGGAAATTATTTTGGACAATTTTTCTATGATAACAAATATCAATTAATGATAATTTGCATAGTAAATATTACAAAACAATCCAAACACTCAATTTAAAGTGAAACAAGTGTTCTTAACAGAGCTTAAGATGCTTAATTTAACATTACATCATATCTTAAATATACCTTACAAAAAGCAAATGGGAGATATATATATAGTGGACACCACACCATTTAAAGTGAGGGAATATAAATATCTTTTTTGGGGATTTTAAAAATAGATTTGAATCTGGGTGAATATTGCTGCCTTTAAGGATACCTGTTATATAAAGCATTTTTTGGAGTATCTGAAAATACAAAATAATCAAAAGCCTAATCACAAGAAAGTGGGCAATATTCTCTATTAAAATATGTTCTATATTGCATTAGTATATGCATCTTATCATAAGTAACCTCTCTGGAAAATTTATTGCTACACCCACTAAAGGGAATAATAGTGACCTAATTAACTACCAAAGCATGATTCCCACATGAAGATTCTGACAAATGGAAGGCATTGAATTGGGAATAATGTGGAGCACTTTTGCTGCTACAATTTATCTTTCTCTTCACTGTTATTTACTCACATCATCAATATAACTTCCATATGTTGAAATATTATATCAACTATATATACATATGTAATTTCACCATATAAACTATTTTTGTAGTAAAAAATTAAATCTATATCCACTTATTTATCAACTAGACATATAAATACATTATTCTTCAATCAACTTGATTTTAGTCCTACTTTTAAATTCATGTATTTTATTCTTTAATTTTCAAAATATAACAATTAGTTTAGTTCATATTTAAAAAAAAATCTTTTAATTAAAAGAATTGAACTGGTAATACAATCGGTCCTGACCTATTCAATGATAAGTTGAATTATTTAATCCAGAGAGTAAAATATAACTTCGCTTTCATATTTTATTAAAAATTTCACTTTTAAGATCGATTTTAGTTTATGTAATTAATTATAAAATAGGAGCATAAAAATATTAAAATTTTATTGTTTAATTATTATATTTTACAAAATTCACCTTTTAATTTTGTTTTACTTAAAAAGAGAATGTCTCATTTTTATTATAGAACGAGGATTATAAAAATATTTAAATTTTATTACTTAATTATTATTATTTTATAAAATTTATCTTTCGGTCATATTTTCTTTTAAAAAAATATTCATGTTTAATTTTATTCTTAAAAACATCTCCATAAATTAAAAAATTGTAAACAATATAATACTTATTAGTGTACAAAATAGAATTATTTTTTCTTCTTTTATTATTGCATGTAAAATTTCCAAGGAAACAATCACTTGTAAAAAAAAAAAAAAACTTAAAAAAACATCATTTTATAATCAATTATTTTCACATTGAAGTTAGTTTGAATTTTTTTTTTCTTATGTCACGTCATTATTTTTTTAAGAATGTTAACTGAATAATAAAAGGTAAAAAAATGACAAAATATGCGAAAAAAAAAACTAGTGATAAAAATTGTGAAATAGTGGTATGGTTAAGAGGTAATATATATATATATATATATATATATATATATATATATATATATATATATATATATATATATATATATATATATATATATATATATATATATATATATATATATATATATATATATACCATAACTTGATGAGTCTTCAGGAAACTATGTTGATGCGATAGGAAGTGGTTATTATTTACTATTATACTCAAATGAGAAAATAACATTATAATATTTCACATTGAGTTTAGAAATTTGTAATTACGAGTTCAACTTTTGTTAAAGAACCCCATTTGGATGGATATAGACACAAAGGGGATGTGAGAGTTAAGAACAAAAATAGTAATAAATAATATTACTTGTGATTGATTATATGATAAGGAAACAAAACGAAGATGGAAAAAAAAGTATAACATATGTACAAATTTTCTCATTAATTTCATGTTTAAAAGTAGAAATATAAGTATGTAGAAGTAATCACAAGAAAGAGTTAAAGACAAGAGAATTGCACGATTAACATAATAAAACACCACTTTTTAGTAAGAAGAATTTGAGAGGAGTCTTGAATATTTGTTGTATTTGATGATATTTAATGTGTTAGTTAACTCTTTAATCGTATACCCAATCCAGAAATAAACAACCACAATTAATGTTATGAACATTTATTTGACTCTTTCTACCCGATAAATGTTTACGATGTAAACATATTTCAATTAAATTCTATATCATTACAATGTGGAAACTCTTAGTTTTATACAATTTTGTTACATTAATTGGTACAAGTAGTTTCATGCTTACTTTTTAATTAGGTATTATAATTCATAGTTTAACTTATGAAATCATGACTGAAAATACTAAATAAATATAATAAAAAATTAGATGAATGCGAAATAAAAATCTAGAATCTCTTTAATGAAAATAATAATAATAATAATAATCATTGGTTTTTAGTAAAAAAATATAATTATCGGAATTAAACATGATTGATATCTATCATTTATAACAAATAAATAAAATTAGTTTTATATTCAACATTATGATTAATTAATTTATTAATATTTTTTAAAAATAATAAAAAATATAATAACTAAAATTTATTTTATCTTATTCACCAATAAATTATATATATATATATATATATATATATATATATTATTTTAGATCATTAATTTTTTAAAAAGTAATGAAAATAAATTATAAATATTTTTACTCCTTCTACCTAGAGTAGATGAATTTATAATTATATTATAAAATATCTCTTATTTGAAGAAGAGTTACAGAATTTATTATTATTATTATTTTAATATAATAATATAAAATTATAATTTATTTTAATAATTAAATTATAAAAAAAATAATTGGTAAAAATAAAAAGTAAGTTTATAATTTTTATTTTTAGAGTAAATAATTTTATTATTATTATTTTTATTGATCATATCACAAACACTTTAGTGTCTACGTGTCCATATATATATATTTTATAATTTTTTTTAAATTTTAGTTTATTTTCTTCTTCTATTTTTTAAATATATTTATTTTTTATTTTCCTTATATTTTTGTTATTTTTTAAATATATAAGTCATAATAACTGTTTTTCTTTAATCTATACTACTTTTATTTATTTTTCTCTGATTACATAAAAAAATAATTATAATATATATATATATATATATATATATATATATATATATATATATATATATATTATGGAATTTTCTGAATCTATTAGTGGCTCAAAGCATACAATAATGGGAAGGAAATGTTACACGAAAGCTTTTCTGATTTGGTCATAGTCGCTTTCATTACTCAAAGGATGCCATTTTTCATGGGGCAATATTGCATAGCAGATTGAGATGTTTAGTCATTATAATATGTTTTAAAAAAATAAGCAATGGCCAAATATCAGAAAATAGAAAAATATATATGAATATATATTTAATTAGATTCACTTTTTTATATTTGTTGCATTGTTAGACTAATGTTATGGTAGGTGTGAATCCTTACGTTTTTTATTTTTTTTTTCTTTACTTGACTCAGTATTATTTTCTGAGTGTAATCATTCAAATGTTTGTTGAGTACATGTGTTTGTGGAGTAAATGAAAATAGAGGAATTTAGTTATATATAATCCTTAAACTGCTAAATCTCTCTTTAAGGTTATAAATAAATTGAATTAGAATGATTTGGGGAGAAAATATTATTTTATTTGATTATTTTGTTTTTATTCTCTGTCAGGCTTATTTATTTATTTATTTTTAAAATAGTTTTTATATTTTTAGGTTTTAAAAATTTTAAAATTATTTGACAAACTAATTTTTGTTTTTTAATTTTAAAAACTAAAAAATTAAATTAATAAAATGTATTTTCTATTTGTATTTATAGATTTTAATATTTTATTTAATAATTACATTAAATCACTCATTTTTATTATTATAAAATTATTTTTCAATTTTCTTCACAACTTTTTTATGATTATTTATGTTATTTTAAAAAATATTAAACATTATTTTACAACTTAATTTTAAAAATAATTTTTTAAAATTGGTCTATGAAATTATTTCCAAAAATTAAAAACTAAAAATAAAGCAAACAAGTCCGCATTTAATTTAATATGATTTTACTTATTTTTATATTTTTTAGTTTATTTTCATTTTTATAAAGATACATATTAAATAATAAAATACATAAATCATGTCAACATCAGATATTAAATCATATAATATGATTTATAAATAGTTTAAAGAATATATTTAAATTATAAGTTAAAAATAACGTTCTACCGTCTTTCAAAAAATAAATGGACAATGGGGTGACAATTTTTTAAGTAATATAAATTCTTAAATATACGTACACATAACTAATTATGAAAAAATTTTGAACACACAAGTAAGTTGGGTTGATTTTGGATTGGATATATTTTTAACTATCTCATAACTCAATTTAATTAAATAACAAAATATTATTTTATTATTGTTTTAGGTTTTTAGTTTGTTCGTTCCTTGAATCAGTAGATAAATATATCTTCTACCACTATACATTTGGTTTAGGCATGTTTGATTTTCTTTAAATAAAATCTTAAATTAATTTTTCTGTATATGACATAAATAAAATTGTTCCAAGAGTCAATCTTATCTGATTTTTTTTTCTTAAAATTGTTGTATACCTTAGAATAAATTTGTGAATCTTTTCTTTATAAAAATAATTTTGTGAATGTTTTCCTTATAAGTGTGTCTTAGTCTCTAACCTTAGAATTAATTCGTAAAAATATTATTCGTTTTAAAATTTTGTAAATTATAATTTTATCTTTAAAATATATTATGATAATTTAAAAAATAAAAATTTGTATAAAACTACACTTTATCTTACAGTAATTTAAAAGATAAATATATATATATATATATATATATATATATGAAATATATTTTATCACATTTTTAAATTAAGTGAAATTTATGATCATCGAAAAATATATAAATATATAATAATAATAATAATAATAATAATAAATACTTTAAAGAGACTCCTATAAATGTAACGATCCTAGAAATTGCTACTATAATGATGTCTTCGAAGTAATAAACAAGTAAATAACAACCTCTATTTTACATTATATTATTGTAATTGTAACATATATTGAAATTTCGATTTACTAACTGAACTTCAAAATATAGTAACATAATTTATTTATATATTATACATGTAAAAGTAGCTCCTCGAAGTTATCCCACTGAACTATCTCTCGTCATCCAGTAGTCACATCACCATCTCTCAACTCCTGATCTGCTCCCACATAAAAGTGATCATCGCAATTCCATCCACATGGAAAAATAGGGGTAAGTATTAAATCATTCGATATAATAAAACAGATATAGAAGTAATAATTATATATTATGATCAATTACGAAATTATCAACACACTAAGACACCTTCCGAAGTATACCCTAACTATGCCCGAACTCGGAGGCTATCATCTCCGGGTACATCGTGATCGGTACCGCAGCACCATTCCGACCACCCTCCACACGAGTAGGATTACCGGCGCCCTTCATCACTCATACCTGGAGTACCCTCCGAGCGCGCCACCAGTCATTCCCCCATCGACTTCTCACCACCCGATCTCGTAGTCTACCCGACCCGACCAATCGGTGAAGTCCGGGACCTCATTCGAATCCTCCGACATAGTTATTACACTAATGTACTCTGTACCACCCCGGTACCATTCAAACATAACAAAAATTATTCACATTTGCTCGGATTCTGGACCACCTGTCCTCACTGCTCATTCGGTCAATAAAAATAGTATTTGATCGATTTTAGCACCAACCCTCCGGCTCGATCTAGCTAATATATAACGTCTCAGGACTGATTCTGGCATCAGCCCTCGAGCTCAGCTTGACCCACACACGTCACAACACACTACTTTCATTCTCTCTCTCTTTATATATATATATTTTTCTAAAATCATTTCCGAAACTATTTCCGAAACTATTTTTGAAATCATTAAATTACTATTTTGCCCTTAATCTTTTCTTAAAATTCCATGTATGTCCCTAAATAACTATTTTACCCTTGGACATTTTTGAAAATTCCTTCCATGTCCCGAAAATGACTATTTTGCCCTTGGACATTTTCAAAAATTCCTTCCATGTCCCAAAAATGACTATTTTACCCTTGAACAATTTCAAAAATTCCATTTATGTCCCTGGGATGTAAAATGACTATTTTGCCCTTAAACATTTTCAAAAATTACATTTATGTCCCTAGAATGTAAAATGACTATTTTATCCTTGAACAATTTCAAAAATTCCATTTATGTCCCTAGGATGTAAAATGACTATTTTGCCCTTGAACATTTTCAAAAATTACATTTATGTCCCTAGAATGTAAAATGATTATTTTACCCTTGATCTTTTAAAAAAATCCCCACCATATCCCTTTCTTCTTCCTTCGCCCAGTAATAGTGTAAAAATTTTCGGATTTTGGCAGATTTCAAATTACTCAGCTTTTAGACAACCAAACTAGTCCCAAATCGAAATTAAACATGAATTATATCTAATTTAAGTTGAAAACAACAATTTTACCATATAATTCATCTTTAATTTCAAGAATTTAATCAATATTTAAAACTTTGCAAAATATGAATAGTAATCACCTCGAGTACGCCCTTTTCAAAATTCAGGTTTCAAATTTCTCAGCTTCAATCACCCAAATTAGTTCCAAATCAAAATTAAACCATAAACATGTTCAATTTAAGTTAAAAACAACAATTTTATTATATAATGCATTCTTAATTTCAAGAATTTCAAAAACTTTCAAACGGTGAACAGCTTCATCAAAATCGAAATTCTTCAAAATCAGACATTCAAATAATTCATATCTCTACTCCTATTCCTTATTCACAGAGTACCCAACAATTCAATTTCATATATTGAATGAATTAAACTTCCTCTTACCTGGTATGATATTTCTACCGAAGTTTTCCCACTTAATTTAAGCTCTCTCCCGTTTCACCAGATCATGCACGAGTAGAGTCTCGTTGCTTGAAATTTAGACAATAGAAGAAGAAGGATGAGAGAAAAATTTTGATTCTCCTTCTCCTCCGCTTCAGTATGCATATATAAGAAAAAAAAATTTTACTGTACATGAGGAAAATTTCGTTACTAAGTTTTCTTGCACAATAATATTAATATAATATTAAAATAAGGCATACCTCCCAATAAATAAATAAAAAATGAAATAAAACCGAAGAAGGGACAAAGTCATCCGCAAAATCAGTGTATTCCCATGCTATTGAAAAATAAAATGTATAAATCCCGAGAATGCTTACACGAATCTAGGGTTTGCACGTTTGTTTGTGTGTGAAACTTTTATGGAAAGCATTTTTAAATTAGAACCACGTTTTAAAAATTTTATAATAATTATATTTTTTGAACTTATCATAAACTTATTTAAATAAACATATCATAAAAAACGTGTAAAAAGTAAAATTGGCACAAGTACTTTTTTTATTTATTTATTTAAAATACGGAGCAACGCATGAGTGCATGGTAAGAAAATTCTATGTATAATATCTATAATATATAATTATTTTTATGTAATTCTAAAATAAATTTTGATTAATTTTCTTTTATTTTGTAATTGTAGTTTAATACTTATTGTTGAATTTCAATCAAAGTAAAATGGATATGAACCATGTTATATAAGATGTTTATATAAGTTTGTTTCATATTTTTTAATTTTTTTTTTGGATTGGTGAGAAAGCTTGTTAATTTTTTTTTCTTTCAATTTTATTTTGAAGTTCTTTGCAATTTAAGTTTTTTTTTTCACTTATCTTAACTCTAATTCAATGAACATCTTCTCTTCTTTATTTCTTTCTTTTTAATCCATCTTTTATTTTTTTCACTATTAGAAATTCTCATATTTTTCATAAAAATATTTTTACAATTTTTTTATAAAAATTACAAAAAATATTTCTTTTATAAATTTAAATAATTTTTTATACAAAATTTATAAAAAATAACTAAATTTTTAATAGTGTCCTTCATTTAAATTTCCAAAACTTTATTCTAGATTATATGTGTAGTTATATTGTTATCATTATTGGATTTTTTTAGAGAATTAACACTAAAGCGAAGTTCACCTAAAAAATCTATAATAAAATATAACTCAATCTTCAACTCAATATTTATGTATATAAATTATTTAATTTTCTCTTTTTTATTTAATATTACCTAATACTTAACCTTCAACAAATTATTCATTCAATCTAACATAATTAAAATAATAAAAATAAAATATAAAAAACAATAACGTAGTTTTGTACTGAACATTGTTTAATAATTAGTTAATTACAT